CTGTTAAATGAGAAACTATTTTGTTCTGTAAGCCTTCATCTTAAGTGAGAATAACAGCACAATTGGAAGAGCGTAGTCAATGTCACTGAACTGTGCATTTAGAAATTTTTGAAATGGTATATCTTTTGATTAAAAAAAATGGTTGAGAAGTTAGAGGGTTGACATGTTGTGGGGTTGTTAACCAATGTCATAAAACAATATGTGTACTACTGTTTCATGTTCTGTAAGCCTTCACCTGAAGTACAATAAAAAAAAAAAAAAACTGGCCCGGACTCTTGATAAATGTCAAAGTAATGAAGGCAAAGAAAGACTGAGCAACTGTCACCGATTGGAGAAATCTAACAGACATGACAGCTAAATGCCTAGTTGGACCTTGGACTGAAAAAAGAACATTAGTGGGACAGTTTGTGACATTTAAAAAGTGCCTGCAGATTAGTTAATTGTATCAGTGTAAATTTCCTGATTTCAGTAATTGACTATGGTTGCGTAAGATTTTAACGTTGGGGGAAGTTGGGGGAAATTGCACATAGGAACTCCCTATACAATTTTTTGAACCTTTTGCAAGTCTGAAAGTATTTCAAAATAGCTGAAGAATGTTCTGGCATGATTTTAAATTTTTTGGTTGGCAGAAAGAGGATAATTGCATACCAGAAGACACCCCTTTATAGTCTGTTATTATTCTCTGTAGGGTCACTATGAGTCGGAATTGACTCAGTGGCAATGGGCATTATTCTCTAACATTTTCAGTCCGTCAATCAGTTTTAGATTCCTTGTGTTTTTCTTCCAAAAAAAAAAAAAAAAAATGTTGTCATCCTTTTTACCTGTGGCCTGATGGAAACTTTCAGTGATTATCCTAACATAACTTTTTCAATTATAATTTTTATAATTGTAGAACTGGAGGCCTTGAGCAATAGTGACTTAGCTCCAGATGATAACCCTGGGATGAAATCATAATTACACAGAACCAGGAATTTAATGCTTTGCCCAGTCCTTTTACCAGGTTCACCTTTTTCTCATGTAAAACCAAAAGTATGGTAGAAACATTTCAGAAAATTAGCTCTAACCCTGCAACATGGACAGCAAGACCAAGGAGTTAGGGTTAGATCTTTTTTAATCTTATGTGAATTGATTGCTTTTCCCCATTAATCTACATTCCTTGAAAGCAGCTTCTGTTGTTGTTAGCTGCGATCAAGATGGCCCCTGACTCATGGCAACCCCAGAAACACTGCCTGGTCAGTTGGGGATTGGAACATTGTGTGGCTGGGAATCGAACCTGGGTGTCCCACGTGGAAGGGGACACCTCTACCACTGAACCGTCAGTGTCTCGTGCAGCTTCTGTATCTCTTGCCTCATTGTATCCCCATGGGTCCAGCCCAGTGTTGTTGATGAGTACGCGGTGAAGAGACAAGTCTCATTAGCAGGAACTGGAGGATAAATAGTGTGTTCTGAGGTTATCTTTATTCCACAGGATTAAACAGAGTAACAGATGATGGAATTAACTTGGATTTTGTGATCACAGAGTTCAATAGAACAATGGTTTTTACGTTATTAAGGCTTAATTCCATATAAACCTTTGACCTATAAAACAATAGGTAGAAGATACAAAATAAGAGACGAAGACCTAACAGAGACCTGCTCTGAAGTAAATGCATCTTTGTATCTTAACATTGAACATGTCTCTGCTGTTACGACTTTTTACTGCATTAATTTCTGTCATTTTCTCATTAGTGTTTCATAGATGTCTGAAACATCTTACCTTTGTCTCCTGTGAACTTGGTTTGACTTAGCTGTTACATAAATCTCTCAGCATGGAACTTAAATGAGAGTTTTTAGGGGTTAACTTAGAAGTGCTTGAAGAAGGTCTTCTTCAGTCCAGAAACTTAGATGAGGGCAAACGGGGCACAGGGCTGTCCCATATTCTCCTAGAGGCTCATAGACCTCAAATAGCTTTTTGGGGTTTTGAAAATAGATTTATAGAACATCACTGAGGTCTCTTGGGCCCAGGTGATGTCATCCCCAAGTCCCCTTGGCCCCAAAGTTGAAGTAGCCTTAGGGTATTTCTCCTGTCACGTGAATGAGTAACGAAGTTAGGAGCTGAACTCTTAATTCCTCAGTGTCTCCCATCCACACTAGCCTCCACCTTCTGTCTCCAGCTCTGCATTTTATTTATGAGACACCTCTGTCTTTCGGAAAAGATGCCCAGGTAGTATAAAAACAGACGAAACGCAACTGGCTTTCAGCAGAATGAAACTCTCACCCTAATTCATACAATGATTGCTAAGAGGCTTTAATTTACGTCACCATTGAAAATGCAACATTTTCTACCCCCAGCTGGAGAAAGAAAATTTGGGGAAAAAAATGTTTCTAAAATTAAATAAAATTTATGCTTTCCCATACTTTACATACTTGGAATAGAAAATACTAACCTTGCCTGTTTTGTGATTCTTCATGCAGTTTAGCTAACTTAGTTTAATATTTGCAAAACAAGGTGAATTTTTTTGTACTTGAAGGGGAAGTTTAAATTTTGAATATGTTTTTGAATGTATTTGTTAACTACAGATTTTAGCTGCATGTTTTCTTACTGTAGTTTTCTCAAAGCAGACAGCTTTTCCTTGTTTAGTTGCAAGAACTTCCACCTAAATGGATTTTATACCAAAAAAAAAAAAAAAAATACTTGCGAGTTGGAACTGTCAAAGCTAAGACTGTATTCTGTCAGCTTGCTGCATGTCAGGAAGCCTAATATCAAATCTTCCGACTTTTTTTTCACTTATAAATCTTTTCAGCAACATTAATATACTTACATCTTGACATCAAAGGAATTAGTATTTTTAGAATGTCAGTTTAAGAGCAGTTAGCTTTTCCTGTATCTGCCTTTGAAATCAGTTTTTAAAAATGATGGATCTTAAATGTTATTTAGTTAGATATGAATCACTGTTTTTTGCTAGTAAGTGTTCATATTTCCATCTGTAGTGGAAATGGCATTCTAGCCACAAGACATGTTTTTGGTATTTCTTCTTCTAACAGGGCCATGGACTACCAATGCATGATAATCAAGATTTAGGGGCCCCATGAAGTGATTTTTGTCAGAAAAAGTTGTTACATTGCTTAGAAGATACTGTTCCCTAGGTAACAAATGGAGCTTTCATAATTCCAAAAGAACTATCTACTTGACCTTAGTTTTTAAGGGTTCTAAAGCTATACCCATAGTCTTTACAAAAACTTTTTAAACGTATGTAGAAAGTAGCATCTTTCACATGTGTAGGCAAATAATTTGAGAAATCCAAATAATGAAATTGTGTTGTCTGATCTTGGTACCAAAAACCCTATCAGACCAGCTGCCGTTGAGTTGATTCTGACTTATGGCGACCTCGTGTGTGTCAGAGTAGAACTGTGCTCCACTGGGTTGTCAGTGGCTGATTTCTTAGAGGTAGATCGCCAGGCCTTTGTTCCTTGATCTCGGTAGCCACCGATCAAAGAATGAAAGGCAGTCAATTAGTTCTGTGACTGGTGTCTTAAGCAGTGATTCCCAGCCATGGCAGGGGAATGGGGACATTTGGACGTTGCCTTTTATTGCTGCAGGATCAGAACATGGTAGCAAAAAAGAAGTTTGCAAATCACTGGTATAAAGAGGACATAGTAAGCCAGGCAAGAAAGAGAAATCATTAAAAGTCTGGTAACTCAGAACTATGTGATTACTGCAACCTTATCTTTCTGACGTCTCTGATTTCAGATTGCCGGTCTGGTACCTGTGGATCAGTTCCAGCTTTACCAGCGGTTAAAATTTGAACGAGGTACACGCTCTGCTTTTTATCCTGATGGTTCATGTGGTTTCACTGTGTCGTCTTTACACTGACCTGCCTGGAGGATGAAGGCACCTGTGGGCTGTCAACAACGCCACAAGGGCACCCTGAAAGGGGAAAGCTGTCATTGCAACATAAAATGTCAACTCGCAGCCACAGCCAGAAAAAATGCAGACTAGCAGGAAATAGAACTTTTCCTTATGTTGGTTGTTTAGTTTTTTTAATTTGACTCGTGAAGAGTTTTGCAAAAGATGAACGGTTTCACAAAAGAAGGTAAGGAGGCTTGGTGGTGCAACAGTTAAGCTCCCGGCTGCTAAGTAAAGGTTGGCAATTCGAACCCACCCAGTGGCTCCTCGGGAGAAAGCTGGTGATCTGCGTCTGTAAAGCTTATAGCCAAGAAAACCCTATGGGACAGTTCTACTCTGTCACATGGGGTCACTGTGAGTCAGAATCAATTTGACGGCACCCAACAACAACAACAACAACAGTGTGGACAAATATCCCTTCCTTATCCCCATTAACCAATTTCTAATAAACTTTAAATAACCTTAAAAAAAAAACCAAAAAACAAACTGAAAGGTGGCTCTCCAGAGTTTATCATGAATTTTTTCCCTCTTTAAGATCATTAAACATTTTTATGGTGCCTTATAATAGTCCCTGTTGGTCCTTACGATGTTGTTGTTGGGTGGTGTTGAGTCCATTCTGACTCATAGCAATCCTGTAGGACAGAGTAGAACTTCCCCATATAGTTTCCTCGTCTGTAATCTTGATGGATGTAGTGGTTAAGAGTTTGGCTGCTAACCAAAAGGTTGGCAGTTTGAATCCACCAGGCGCTATTTGGAAACCCTATGGAGCAGTTCTGCTCTATCCTACAGGGTCGCTATGAGTTGGAATTGACTTGACAGCAACGAGTTTGGTTTTTTGTTTTTGTTTTTTTTTAATCTATATGGAAGCAGATTGCCAGGTCTTTTCTCCCATGGAGCCACCGGTGGGTTTGAACCACTAACCTTTTGGATGGCAGCTGAGCACTTAACCACTGTGCCACAAGGGCTCCTACTATTATAATTGTAGTGATGGCCAAGAAGTTTGGATGTGATGTCATTCTGAAGCTATAAATTTACTGTTCATCGGACTGATTTTCTGCCTTTGGACTTTGGGTAATTTATATAGTTTTTCTATTTATACTGCCTGTTTATCTGTAGGAATTAGATTTTTAATCCTTTTGGCCTCTGGTAGATCTTTTTTTAGGAGCCATCTCCCTTCTGCCACACCCTGATATATTTTTGAACTAAATCATCTGTTTTTCAGTATCTGAAAAGTAAGCGGAAAAAATGTTTTCCCTGAAACTCTTAGGTCTGGTGCAGTCTCATTGCATATATAAAATAAACTTTAGTGTGAGCATAAGGTTTTGTAATTACCAGCTTTTTATCTGGGCTAATAAAGTCTAGAGGTGAGAGTTGGGGAGAGCAGTGGATGTCACTTCCATAACTCCGAAGTTATACTGGTAACTTTGGTTAGTACAGTTACCTTTAGCTGGTTTAATCTCTGCAACTACCCTGGCAGTTGCAAAAATAGTTCTTACCGGAAAAGAGGAAACCATGCAGAGAATGAAGGGAGTAAACCAGGAATCCTTGCAAGGGATCCTCAGAATGACATTTGCTCCCTTCGATCAAGATCTGACTTGGGGTCATAGACTAAGAAAGCTGATCTCCCTCCCTCTCCCAAGTAAGCCAAAATCAGATTCATCTCTCATGAGTGGATCACTTAACTCAAAAGACTGATACATAAAGCTGGAATTTGTTTTTTAAAATCTCGGACTAGATGACTTGGATTTCAAATGGCGGTTACATTTTTGCCCTCTAGGGAGATCCAGATAGGAAGACAGGAAATAGAATGCTTGTTGAACAAGGACTAAGCCCCAGTGGAATCAGACAAATTGTGGGTTTAATGGATGAAGATGTAGCCTGATGCATTGGTCCTGTATGGATTCTGAGCTAACTAGGAAAATTGATGGGATGGTTTAGTTTAACCCTCCCTAGTCCATCCACCAGTCCAATCCACAGCTGATCTTGGGGTGGTGCAGCACTGGGCAGCGTTTTGTTCCTTTGTGCATCGGGTCGCTATGAGTTGGGGGCCAACTCACCAGCAGCCAACAACAGCAGCAATTCATCCACATGGGCTGATTAGATTGAGCTTTGTAACATCAGGTGCTTATTATTAGAATGATAGACAAAGATGATAAAATACTTAGGAATAAATCTAACCAGGGACGTGAAAGACCTATACAAAGAAAACTACAAAACCCTACTGCAAGAAATCAAGAGAGACCTACATAAATGGAAGAACATGCTGTGCTCATGGATAGATAGACTCAACATTGTGAAAATGTCAATTCTACCTAAAGTTATCTACAGATACAGCGCAATCCCAATCCAAATACCAACAGCATTCTTTAAAAAGATGGAAAAACTAATCATTAACTTTATATGGAAAGGGAAGAGGCCCTGGATAAGTAAAGCTCTACTGAAGAAGAATAAAGTAGGAGGACTGGCACTACCTGACCTCAGAACCTCAGAACTATATAGCTACGATAGTCAAAACAGCCTGGTACTGGTACGACAGATACATTGACCAATGGAACAGAATGAAGAACCCAGATGTAAACCTATCCACCTACAGTCACCTGATCTTCGACAAGGGCCTAAAGTCCATTAAATGGGGAAAAGACAGCCTTTTTAACAAATGGTGCTGGCAAAACTGGAGTCAATCCGTAAAAAAAAAGAAAAGAAATAAGACCCATACCTCACACCATACACAAAAACTAATTCAAAATAGATCAGATACCTAAATATAAAACCAAAAACTCTAAAGATCATAGAAGAAAAAATAGGATCAACGCTAGAGGCCCTAATACATGGCTTTAACAGGATGCAAACCATAACTAACAGCACACATACACCAGAAGATAAGCTAGATAACTGGGATCTTCTAAAAATTAAGCACTTACACTCATCAAAAGACTTCACCAAAAGAGTAGAAAGAGAACCTACAGACTGGGAAAAAATGGTTCTGACAAATCCAACAAAGGTCTAATCTCTAAAATCTGTAGGAAAATCTAATACCTCTACAACAAAAAGACAAATGATCCAATTAAAAAATGGGCAAAGGATATGAACAGACACTTCACCAAAGAAGACATTCAGGTGGCTAACAGACACATGAGGAAATGCTCATGATCAGTAGCCATGAGAGAAATGGAAATCAAAACCACAATGAGATACCATCTCACCCCGGCATTACTGGCACGAATCAAAAACACAGAAAATAACGAATGTTGGAGAGGCTGTGGGGAGATTGGAACTCTTATGCATCGCTGGTGGGAATGCAAAATGGTACAACCATTTTGGAAAATGATATGGCACTTCCTTAAAAAGCTAGAAATAGAAATACCATATGATCCAGCAATCCCACTCCTAGGAATATATCCTAGAGAAATAAGAGCCGTCACACAGATAGACATATGCACACCCATGTTCATTGAAACATTGTTTACTATAGCAAAAAGATGGAAACAACCTATGTGCCCAAAACAGATGAATGGATAAACAAACTATGGCACATACACACAATGGAGTACTACACAGTGATAAAGAACAATGATGAATCTGCAAAACATCTCACAACATGGATGAATCTGGAGGGTATTATGCTGAGTGAAACAAGTCAATCACAAAAAGACAAATACTGTATGAGACCATTATTATAAAATTTCACAATAAGGTTTACACACAGAAAGAAACAATCTTTGATGGTTCTGAGGGAGAGGAGGGATGAGGAAGGAAAAACACTAAATAGACAATAAAGTGGTATCTTTGGTGAAGGGTGAGACAGTACACAACACTGGAGAAGTCAGCACACCTTGACTAAGGCAACGTCATGGAAGCTCCACAGACACATCCAAACTCCCTGAGGGACCGAATTGCTGGGCTGAGGACCATGGTCTTGGGGGACATCTAGGTCAACTGGCATAACATAGTTTATAAAGAAAATGTTCTACATCTCACTTTGGTGAGTAGCGTCTGGGTTCTTAAAAGCTTGTGAGCGGCCATCTAAGATACTCCGATGGTCCCACCCCATATGGAGCAAGGGAGAATGAAGAAAACTAAAGACACAAGGGAAAGATTAGTCCAAAGGACTAATGGACCACGACTACCATGGCCTCCACCAGACTGAGTTCAGCACAACTAGGTGGTGCCCAGCTACCACCACCGACTGCTCTGACAGGGATCACAACAGATGGTCCCAGACAGAGCTGGAGAAAAATGTAGAAGAAAATTCTAACTCACAAAAAAAGACCAGACTTACTGGTCTGTCACGGGAGAAACCCTGAGAGTATGGCCCCTGGACACCCTTTCAACTCAGTACCGAAGTCACTCCTGAGGTTCACTCTTCAGCCAAAGATTAGCCAGGCCCATAAAACAAAACGAGACTAAATGAGCACACCAGCCCAGGGGCAAGGATGAGAAGGCAGGAGGGGACAGCAAAGCTGGTAATGGGGAATCCAAAGTCAAGAAGCGGACAGTGTTGACACGCTGTGGGGTTGGCCATCCGTGTCACAAAGCAATACGTGTATTAATTGTTTAATGAACTAATTTGCTCTGTAAACCTTCAGCTAAAGCACAATTAAAAAAAAGTGATTCAGAAGGTTCGGGCTGTTGGTGAGAAGATGTTTTAGGAAGAGCTTCATTATTTAGTTTGTCTATTCCCTCTTTATGTAATCAGGAGAGTGACACATGATAAGTCTTTAAAAGCCCTTTAAATAAATATTAAAAAATTTAGATGATAAAAAAAGATGATGATTTGCCCTGCTGTTCTCCATCTTTATCCCAGTATTCTCCACTGTAAAAATCAATTATTACTGGGACATAGACATTCCAGGTATTAGCCGTGTGAGTCAGAGTGACTGTCATGACTTGAGGACTTTTCCCGGG